CAAACTCTTGATGTTGGCAGGATTTGTGGAGAGGTGGTAGACGGGAAAGCATTCTTGGAGTATATATCAGAGATGTGGAGTATGGATAGTGCAAATATCTGAAGGTTTCTTTTTTGTGAACTCATGGACGACTTCAGTCATTTCTCCATTTATCATGATGTTGCCTCTTGGCCCAGTGGTAAGGATCTTTATTTTCTTGATGTTAGATGTAATCCATATTGAAGACTGTAGTCTTTGATCTTCTGCAACAAGCACTTCAAAACTTCCTCAATTTCAATAAATAAGGTTGTGTCATCTGCATAACACAGGTTGTTTATATGAGTCTTCCTCTAATCCTGATGCTATTCTTCTTCATAAAGTCTAGCTTCTTGAATGATTTGTTCAGCATTTTTTATTTCTTTTTACTTTACATTGGTTTGCACACAAAATACAGTATACATTGTGTTTCAGTTATATACATTGTGTTTCACATGACACACAGATTTCTTGTTTTAAAACTGTAGTGTTCCCTTGCTCTGTTTGGACAGCAGCCTCTTGGTATAGGTGTAGGTTTTGCATGAGCACAATAAAGTGTTCTGACATTCCCATTCTTCTTAATGTTAGCCATAATTTGTTATGAACCACACCATCAAAGGTCTGCATAGTCAGTAAAGCACAGATATTGTTTTCTGGTATTCTCTGCTTTTAGCCATGATCTATTTGACATCAGCAGTGATATTCCTGGTGCGTCAGCCTCTTCTGATAAATCTAGCTTGAATTTCTGGCAGTTCTCTGCCAGTGTACTGCTCTAGCCATTTTTAAATCATTTTCAGCAATATTTTTCTTATTATTTTTGTTATGTATCTGTTGTTTGAGTCACCGGCAACTCATAGCAACCTGATGCATATTAGCTCTGAAGCCTAACCTGTCCTTAGCCCATCCATCTCATTGTTTCCAACAGACCTAATCCCATTTCTCCGGTCACTAAGTCACTCCGTCACATCCTGAGTCTTCCTCTCCTGTACTATCCCTCTACCCTTCTGAACATGATGTCCTTCTCCAAGGACTGGTCCCTCTTGGCCACATGCCCAGAGTATGTGAGATGGAGCTTAAAAGTTCTTGCTTCCAGAGATCAGCCTTGTTTCACCCTCTCCAGGACAGACCTGTTTGTTCTCCTAGCAGCCCACAGTATGTTCAACACTCTTTTCCAGCACCACAATTCAAAGTCATCAGTCCTTCTTCTATCATCCTTATTGTTCAGCTTTCATATGCATAGAAAGTAATTGTGAAGACTATGGCCTGTATCAGGTGCACTTTAGTCTCCAGACTGCCATCTTTACTCATCAGTACTCTAGAGAGGTCCCTGACAGCAGACTTTCCCAATATAATTCATCTTTTATTTCCTGATTGATGCTTTCCTATCTCCATACCTTTTCAATCTATATGCAGAATAGATCATTCAGGAAGCAGGGCTTTTATGAAGAGGAATGTGGCATCAGAATTGGAGGAAGATTCATCGACAACCTGCATTATGCAGATAACACAATTTTGCTTGCTGAAACTGAGGAGGACCTTAAACATTCGCTGCAGAAAGTCAAGGACTGTAGTCTTCAGTATGGATTGAAGCTCAACACCAAGGAGACAAATTGGGACACTTGACAGCTAGCTTCATGATAGATGGAGAAGAGTTTGAGATTTGCTTAGATATGATGATGTTGTTGTTAAGTGTCGTCGAGTCATAGGCGATTCATAGTGACCCCATGAACAAAAGCCCTCAGCACTTGTATGACTTTCATCCTTTGCCAGGTTCATAGAGTTTCTAAAGGCAAGCTATTATGGAAGTGAATACCACTCCTGCTTCCAATTAGATATGATATTGATGATATTATTTGATAATTTCCCATTCTGTTGGATCACCTATTTTGGGAATGAGAATAAACATGTATCTCTTAAGTTCAGTTCACCAGGTAGCTGCCTTCTAGATTCCTTGACACAGTGTGGTGAGCACATCCAGTGCTGCAGCTGTGTGTTGGAACATGTCAGTTGGTATTCAATCAATTCTTGGTCCTTATTGTTTGCTGGTGCTTTTAGTATAGTTTGAACTTCTTCCTTCATCATAACTGGTTCTTGATCAACTTCCTGAGTTGGTTTTGTATAAGCCTATTCTTTTTGGTACAGAGAATACCTTTTGGGTAAGAACGTGCAAATAAGGAGTGAAGACTGTTAAAGAATTAGTTTTATCGTCCTGTCAGGCTTAAATTAAGTGGCTCAGAAGCAAAAAAACTGGAAACTCAAGGCTTTCAAAAAAGAAGCAGAGAGTGCAGTATGTCTGTTTGGACCAAAGATTCCTCTGTAAAATGAGCTAATAATAAAGACCCAGCAGCAGCAGGGCAGTAGGAGAGGTAGTGGGAAACGAGAGAGAGTGGTGTGAGACAGCACTGAACTAGAACCACCACCCCGCAGAGCCAAGACCTAGGACCTTCACCTAAACCCACTGGTGAAAGGGTGGAGGGTACACTTAATAATTGGTGATACTAGCCTAGAGTCCTGAATTTGAGAGTCAGAAAGAATGCAGGCTCATATCGCAAGTTGTCCTGACTAAAGAAGTATATCCCAACTGTTTCCAACCTCAACTGTTACTCCCCAATGAGCCCCACAGGTTTCTGGAGATGGCCTGAAAGGTAAGAAGTTACACTGCCAACCCAAAGTCAAGAGGTTCAAATCCACCAGCTGTTCTGAGGGAGAGAGATGCACTGCCTCCTCCTGGAATATTTACAGCTTCGGAAAACCCATTGGAGGGTCATCTATGAGCCAACTCCAACCAAGGGCACATTAGTAACACAACAATATAATGGTCACAGGAGTAATTAATAGTCATGACTTGGACGCTGAACTGAGAAGCTGATCTTTAATGATGTAAGAGCTTGGACTCAGCTCCAGCCATCCTCTAACCAGGTCGTAGGAACACCAGAATCAATCTGAATGAAGCCCCAATTGTGAGTATTTTCTGAGTTCTTTATGGCCCAGGAGGAACAAAGTCTCATAATCAGACCAAACAAAATGATAAATGGAGAAAATATTTAAGTTGTCAGAGATTTCCTTTTACTTGTATGCAATCAACACCCATGGAAGCTGCAGTCAAGAAATAAAACAATGCAGCGAGCTCTGGTGGCCTAGTGGCAAGAAGCTGCACTGCAATCCCAGAGGTGGTGGTGGTAGTGGTGGTTGTTAAGTGCTGTCGAGTCGCAGGCAACTCATAGCGACCCTATAAAGGAGAATCCTCAATGCTTGGGTGTCTTTCATCCTCTCTCCAGTTTCATAGGGTTTCCGGAGGCAAACTATTACGGAAGTGGATGCCGCTCCTGCTTCCAAGATTGTTTTAATCAGGGAGTTTCGCCCAACACTGTCCACAGTTGGTAACGAACAGTTAACGGATTTGACACATCAGCGTCACCATGTTCAGCCTCACAGCAACCACAAGTTACCACTGTATGGCAAGTGGACACACCAGGGCTATATGACCTAGAGGAATGTTTGGACAAAAACAATGAAAGACAGGCCCAAGGGCTGCTATTAAAAGTCACCCACCTTTGGCTTGATTGTATCGCTTTCAGTCCACTGGGCCAGCTGATCAAGTTCAAATCCACCAGATCCTCTGCTGGAGAAGGAGGAACAATCTCCTCCTGTACCAGTCAGATCTGATTTGATGGTACACACACACACAAAATAAAATAAAAAATACAAGTATTTAAATAAAATAATGTATTATTGCACTGGGCAAATTTTTGCTATGAAAAATCTTTTTAAAGTGTTAAAAGAAAAGGTATCACTTTGAGGACTCTAAGGTACATCTTACTCAAATCCCCACATTTTCTATTACTTAATATGTATATGAAAGCTAGACCATAAGTAAGGAAGACTGAAGAAGAATTGATACCTTTAGAGTGTTGATGAAGAATATTCCTGTACCATGGACTGCTAGGAGAATGAACAACTGCGTCTTAGATGAAGTCAGCCAGAATGACGGCTCCTCAGAAGGGAAGGCGGTGAAACTGTGTCTCTTTCTTACTTACTTAAGCTGTGTTATCAGGAGGGACCAGTCACTGGAGAACGACATCGTGCTCGGTAAAGTAAAGAAGACCTCAGTGAGATGGACACCATCAGAACAAAGATAGTGGGGATGGCACAGGGCTAGACAGCATTTTCTTGTCTTATACAGGGGTCACTTTGACTAGATGACACCTAACAACAACATGTAGCAAAATTTTGCCTAACTTGAGTATAAGTTAAGGTGAAATCCGTGCTTCTGTTTATTAATATTGTTGCTGAGTCGGAACTGACTCATAGCTGGCCAGGCCTCCTTTGGATTTCAAAGGCTGTAAATCTCACAGAAGGAGATTGCTCGTCTCTTCTGCATCCCGACTGCCAAAGAGGTGTAGCCTTTGGGTTAGCAACCCAGCTGCCTCTGGACTACACCACCAGAGCTCAGAAGCTTATTTTTACCTACCATCAGCCTGTAAAAATTCAAAGAGGATTAAATATTTCTCTTAAAAAAAGTGAATGTAATAAAAAAGCCAGTATTAATAGAATTTAAATTGGTAGACTATTCTTCAAATTTTAACCTCTCCTATATTCTTGCTTGCTGAAACTGACGAGGACTTGAAGTACTTGCTGTGGAAGGTCAGGGACTGCAGTCTTTGGTATGGATTGCGACTCAGTATCAAGGAAACAAAGATTCTCACCACTGGGCCAATTGGCAGTGTCATGATGGATGGTGAAGAGATTGAGCTTGTTCACAGTTTTGGTTTGCTTGGATCCACAGTCAACACTCTTGGCACCAGCAGCCAGGAAATTAAAAGACATATTGCTATGGGAAAGTCTGTGGTTAGAGACCTCTCTAAAGTGCTGAAGTGTAAGGATTTTAGTCTGGAGACTAAGATGTGCCTGATACATGCCAGGGTCTTTGCAATCACTTGCTATGCATCGGAGAGCTGGACGATGACTAGGGATGATAGAAGGAGAATTGATGCCTTTGAGCTGTGGTGTTGGAGAACAGTGTTGAATATACCATGGACTGCTAGGAAGATGAACAAGTTTGTCCTGGAGAGGGTGAAGCTGGGCTGCTCCTTGGAGGCAAGGATTCTGAAGCTTCGTCTGATATACTTGGACATGTTGTAAGGAGGGACCAGTCCTTGGAAAGGGACGTCATGCTTGGGAGAGTGGAGGAACAGCGCAGGAGAGGAAGACCCTCGATGAGATGGATTGATTCAGTGACTGGGGTAATAATGGGGGCAGGTGTGTTGGAGATTGTGAGATTGGCACAGGATAGGGCAGAGTTTAGGGCTGTTGTACATAGGGTTGCTATGAGTCGCAGGTGACTCAACAGCACATAACAATGACAAAAACAACAATACATCAATACCAAGCAGACAACCAAATTCTCTTGACTCAACTCTAAAGACAGAAACAAAAGCATTCTTAAAGTGTGGTTTCTCAGAGGCTTATTTGGTGCCCATAAATTAATTTCTTATCATCTGTTCAGCATTAATAATGCAAAAGTATTTTTTATATTTAAATTGCCAGATTGGTAAATTTGTTGAAAAGAATTGATTCTGTGTGTTACTATGTGTAATTACTTAAAGGTGCATGCTTGTTTAGCCATATAATTCCCTTTCTGTCATAGAGGTATATAGAAAACCCCAGCGTCATGGCCTGTTACAATGAGCTGATCCAGCTGGAGTATGGAGAGGTGCAATCCCAACTGAAACTCAGGTAATGCTATCACTGCTGGGAAGCCTGTTTGACTGCACAGCCAAAGCTGCAAGTGAGAACTTGGATTGTGGGTTTACTTTATAGCTTTAACTGACCTCTTGCTAAATAGAGACACGGTGGTGGGTTGGCGGGGGGATTTTTCAGGATGTCATCTCTGCTTATACAGACTTTCTAGAGAATGTCTTGATGTCTCATGATTGCTTTAATGATCCGAGACCTTCATTTAAAGAAGGGTCACCAAAATATTAAGTGGGAAATAAGGGGAATCCAAAAATACATACACTGAATTGTCAATTTTGGTTTTTAAGGAAAAAAATAGTTTCACTGTGTGCATATCATATATACAACATGCCCTGTTATAATAGCCGTTTATCTCCAGGAGATGACAGTTTCTCTTCTCTACTTGATAAAAGTACAAATTGTAAAAAACAGAGGGCAGTACCCCGAAGGAGCGCTGCTGGCCAGGTGGGCAAGGAGTTACTGCAAAGGCAGGTGGCTTGAATCCACCAGCTGCTTTGAGGCAAAAAGATGGGCATCTGCTCCTGTGAGTGAGATTTACAGCCTCTGAATACCTACTGAAGGGTCAGCTATGAGTTGGTTTCAACTAAAGGACAATGAGTAAGTTGATTTGATAAAGGTTTGGCTTGTTTAGGAAGCCCCAGTGGCATAGCCTGTAGGGAGTTTCACTGCTAACTCAAAGGCCATCTCTCTCTGGGAGTTCGCAGCTGCCAACAGCGCTGCAGGAGAAAGGCCATTTCCTCCCATGAGACCCAGTGGAGGGTCAGCTATGAGTTGGTTCTGACTGAATGGAAATGAGATACAGGTTATTTTGTGGGGTTTTTTAGATACATTTTTTTTAAATGTGAAATATTCCTGAAAGCCTTATTCTGTATAGAGCATGGGAAACAGAAAAAATTACTGAAATTGTCTAGTGTTAAAGCCTGTTTCCTTCCTTCATCACTAAATCCAATCACTAACAATTTTCTGTTGCCTTTAATTCCAAAGTACCTTTGGGAGTCCACTTATCTACATCTTAGTTTTCATTTCTTGTGCCCTTGAGGCAAGTATGACTCATTGTTACACTATGAACAATGTATCTGACATCTCTCCTATCCTGAGCCATCCTCACCATCTCCACCACACTTGAGCCCACTGCAGTAGGCATTGCATTGATTCCTTTCTTGATTCTTTCTCTTTTTCACTGACCCTCTACCTTTATAAGCGTAATGTTCTTCTCCAAGGATTGGCCCCTCCTGACAGCTGCCCAAAGTAAATAAGATGAAGTTTCACCATCCTTGCTTCCAAGAAGCACTCTGGTTTCACTTTCTTTAAAACACATTTGTTTGTTCTCTTGGCAGCCCATGGCCAAGACCAAAACATTTTACTAGTTTAGTTCACATAATCTCTTACTGTTAGGGATAGAGAGGTTAAAAGGAAGATGGCTACAGTGGATTAAGGAAGAATCAGGAAATGGAGAAGGGCTGCAAGGGGAACGCATTAGAACCTTCTGTCATCAGACCTGGACCAACCTAGTACACATGCACCCTTAACCTTACAACAGTAGCCCAGTGTCAGAGGAGATGTGGACATTTGAGCAGACGTTCCAAAATCCATATCGGGAAACTCAGGAAGAGGCCTTTTTCACCGCTCTGCTCCTGAGAAGAGCCCACTCTGTCTGAGCATGTTTCTCTTGCTTAATAAACTCTTGTCTGTAAACTTTCCTGTGTTTTAATAAACTTCCCTGTCTTTGGCTCTCCTCTGTCTGCAGTGTGTGTTCTTGCTTCGCTCTTGGAGCACTCATTTCAGGAAGCAACCTTTCTAGCCTGCATCCAACTAACAAACCAGATCCGGGAACCTCCTAACATCAGAACAAAATTACATTATGTTCCTATCTTACACTTTGCTGAGAAATGAACTCCAACTAATTGAAAGCTTAAATGTATAAAAAAATAAGACTACACAGTACTAAAAATATTTGTGAACATATCTAATTGTATGTTACAGTCTTTTCTCAGCAAGCATAAAAACCAGAATTTTTTTAAAAAATGAGAAGACTGAGATTGTTTATCAGTATCAAGGTTGTTTACAATTTAAAAAAATAAAACAACCTTTTAGCAATGTTGAAATGCCAGACCAGTGACAAACTGGAAACAATATTTGTTAATATACAGGACCACTGGG